GTTATGTTATATTTATGGCATAAGCCGGTAAACGAGCAGACGGATTGCCTGATGGTAAGCAATCGGCGTCGCCCATGGACACCTGGAACACCAGAGGCGTTACAAGTACGTTACCGGCCTTTTGGGGATTAGGAGTTTGAGGATCGTTGGGGATTCGGGAATTGGGGAAGGGTAGGGTAATTGGGCCTCCGGTAACCTCACTCACACGACGAAACACAACGCAAGCGTTGCTTCACGTCGGTCTTCTGTGAGGCCGTGGTATCACTCCGGTCGAGCCAGCCCATTCGTGCCGAAGCATGGCTCTCCCACACTTGAATATACTGAGAAAAGCTCTACTAGTTTCGAAACATAGAGGGGTTCTTCCTCATGAGCAGCGTGCGCGGTCGCGGCGATGTCGCGCAGCCTACTTTTTTACTTTAGAGCTTTTCTCAGTATATTCACGTGAGTAACTCGCGATTTTTAATTAATTTAGTATGTCTCACGATAGTTTTATAAAAACAATTGCTAATTATTTATTATTTCGTTTCTTTCAATACATTAGTGTTGTTCAACGAAAGGCGTTTACTTTGAAGATAAACATTTCAACCACCATACGTTGATATTTTACATTAAGTAGGTATATGTAAATATGTAATTATAATGACGTTAGCACTTGTGATAATAATTCACGTCTTGCTTTGCAGGTGGACTTAATTTACCTACTCATAAACGCTTTATATAATTCATTACTGATGGTAATTTTATTGTGGACTTCAGTTTTATTGGTTTTAGACATGTTACTTCAAAATCGCATCAAAGGTGTAGGCAGAGGAGCAAATAATCAATGTAAAACCTATACTTGTTTTTTTTTTCATAACGAAGTAGTGATAGGCGAAAAAATTTAGATTTTTTTTAAGGTAGGAAATCATCGAATGACTGCTCCCGCCTGGTGGGAGGCGGAAAGGAGTGTCAGACTCTTACTGACTAAAAACCACCCCGTTCTTTCTCCTGCGCTTCGAGCCGGAGCCCCAGTAACTCGTTAGGTTCTTCGCGACTCTGAATCGGCATCAGCCCTGTTGGGCCCCATTTGTGGTGGTCTGATGGCTCTTTGAGACGCCATTGAGGCGAGAGGAGTAGAGGAGAGATAAATTGAAACTTGGTGCTTGTTAGTATAGCTGCCGTTGCTGCTGCCTGACTGGCTGTTTAGAATAATACTAAGCAAGAAGATAATATCATTTTTTATACAACTTTTTTTTATAATAACATTATCTCATACTAGGATTTTGTCCTCGTGGGTGCGTTTACAAATATACAAATTCACATACACATGACACCCAGACCCGAAACAATAATTTGTGGATTACACAGTGTTGTTCCGTGAGGGAATTAAACCCGCGGCACGCTGCATGGCGGCCGGTTGTACAGCCACCGCACCAACCATGCAGTCACTTTCAGTAGCAACAAGGCTTACGGGTCGTCTGATGGTAGACGGTTAATGTGGTAACAGAAGAGGTATAACAAGCGCCTTGTTAAACGCAGGATTTTTTAAAAACTGAAGTATAGGGGGAAGTCCCTTAACGCCGGACGGCACCTAACGCCGGACACTTATATTATCTCGATAACTAATAACGCGAGCGATTCAATTTTTAGTGGCCTGTTATCAGTTGTCGAGATAATCCAACTGTCCGGCGTTAGGTGCCGTCGTACGGGATTTCCCCCTACGTCCTTTGAAAACCCTCATACTATTAGTTTTTGAGGAAATACTACCTACTTAATTGTGAATGAAGACAATACTATCTCAAAACTTTTATATGTTGGAGAGCCATGCTTCGACACGAATGGGCCGGGGTGATACCACGGCCTCACATAAAAGCGATGTGAAACAACGCTTGCGTTGTGTGGATGAGGTTACTGGAGACCCCCCCCCCCTTTAAATCTCCACAATCCCTGAATGCTCAACAATTCCTCAAATCCCTTATCCCAAAAAGTCGGTAACGCGTTTGTAACGCCTGTAATGTTCCGAGTGTCCATTGGCGGCGCAGATTGCTTACCATCAGGTGATACGTCTGCTCGTTTATCGGCTAAAAATCTAACTTATAAAGTAAGTATTATGGCTGGAAAATTCATATACTGTAAATAAGCATGGAGACACTTAACAGTTTATACCAGCAGCTGTAGCCAAATTCTATTTAGCGCTTGTCTACATGTAGAATAGAAATCCAAATTATATGAAATCGACGTAAATTTTGACACTTGTCAGTGTCATCCCCGTACATTTTGATTTCTACTCCCTCTGTGTTGATCTTTTTTTAACAAATTTATTCGTTGCAATTTCACATAGTATGGCCTTAAATATAAACTCGCCAAACTTTGACGTATACCTTTTACGAATACTTCTCATTAGATACAACATCACAATCCATAGCCACATCAATCAATCAATCACATAAAACAAATTAATGTTTCAATCACACCACAACAGTTTATTTAAAGAAAATGTAAATATTTAATTAAAGTTTAAAACTATTTAAATAGCTGTCACAATTATAGGAATTATAAATACACTGGTTGATTACAAATTAAGTCACAGTTTAATTGGTTTCAATTATAATTGTTTCTGCAGATAATTGTATGATTACTACGGTGGTGCAGTATTCGTAAGATTGAAGTTCGATTCCAAGAAAAGGTAAGTAAGAATAGGTAGGTATAATGTTTTAAGAAATATTTAATTGAAATGTGTTACAAGATTCTAAAACGAGTTGATGAATAGTTTCTGTATATAATTTTATTATGAATGCAGTTTTTGTTACATTATTGACGTACCTATTAATTTATCTGAAATTTGTCAATTACTAGAGTAAATCACGAATATATTTATTTATTTACACTTTATCGTACACCATGGAAACATAGAAAATATATCATAATAAAATGTACGTACACGTGTCTAGTGAGTAGTGTATATTGGATTGTGTTTTACACAAAAACCATATATTCCTATATTTTATTCCTAAATTCGTATTGTTATGCATAAAGAAGTTATGCAGAAGTACCATTACAATACATAACTAAAATTATACCAAAAAATATTATGTCTAAAAATTGAACTGGAAAAGAGACACTTACCTTAATCGGCGGCGCATAATCCACGGCCATCATACAATCGCTGTTGACACCAGCTTCAGTCTTGATCATGGGAGGCCCATGGTGGTACAACTGTCCCATTTGATGGTGATGGACCCCACTGTCACCACGGCTGTACCAGGTAGTGTACATACCGCAGTTCTGGTCCCGATAGTCACTCATAAACTCATTTTCACCTATAGCGTTCAACATAAAGTCAGTTGCGATTGGACGAAAAGTTTAAAATTGACAATGAATTTTAAATTATTTTAAACTTTCTGTTTTCTTTTTTTTATAGTTCATTATATTGGTTCAGGTTTGGTTTTGAGATTTTTAGTAATTTTAAATGGGTTTTCGAGTTCATTTTTCAATCATAAAGGTATTTTGATTTCCACCTCTGATTTTTGTCTGTTTGTCAGTTTTATGGTCATTTTAGGTTTTAGTTCTCACACAATCAGTTTTCCACATAACACTTGTCCACTAAACACTTTACAATAAAGTTTTTTTTCAAAATCGAAACTAGATTTTCGGTTCGATCACCCGCCGTGTCAAAGTAAAAAATTAAAGTTATGATTTTTTAAATAAACTGTTTTAAAAACAAAAAAATAATTTAAAGTTTTAAACTTAGAAAAGATTTCAAAAATAGAACAATAAAAGCACCCTTTTCAATTAAATTGAACCCGTTTTTTTAACAATAATTTTGATTCAGAATCAATTAATTTTTCAATATTTAAAATTATTATTGCACTAAGTACATTATTTGAAATAAATAGATATTATTATTTATATTTGACTATTATTTCTGTGATTTATTTCACGGATTTCTATCTTGTGGGCAGCATCTGAAAAAAAGGAAAAATTGTTAAATACAAGTATAAAAAAAGACATTAGTTAAAACTGGTAGGACGTAAGTATTTATTGAGTGGTTCCCAGTACATTATTTTAGATTTAACTGAAGATTTTCTGAATAACTGACTGCTTCGTTAGCTGATTGGTCGCAAATGCGACTGCTGGGCAAGGTAGTGTTGTGTTTGTGCCTGGAATTGTGCCCGGTATATGCTTATCCCCCTATAACATGGGACTCATAACATAAATAGTGAAAGTGGGTGTTACATTGTATAGTTGCATTAAGTGCCGTAATGTGTTCCTCTGGCTACCCCTTCTAGGATAAAAGGCGTGCTAGTGATTAATAGATTTCTGAATAAGTGGGCCCCCTGTACCTAACTCACACTAACCAACACCACCACTGTGACCTAACTCACACTACGATACACAACGTAAGCGTTATTTCACGTCGGTTTTTTGTGAGGCCGTGGTATCACTCCGGTCGAGCCGGCCCATTCGTGTTGAAGCATGGCTCTCCCACACTTAAATATGGAGCTAGGTTTATGAAATAAATAATTTCTGATTACACCCACGATACAGGATTGTAACTTGACCTGTGGACGGCGAGCAACGGTGGCTCGCCGCTCGATCAGAACCGAGCGTACGGCTCAATGAGCCATCAGACCACCACGGATGGGGTGCAGTAGGGCTGATGCCAATTTAAGTATGTACTATCAAACCCAAAAATAACACAAGATTCTTATTTAGACACATTTTGATGTTCCCCGTGCTATTACTAAGAATTCATAAGAAATACGACGTATCGCCATAGACAAGGGTTCCAAGATTTTTAATATGCCAATTTGATTGCATTTTCTTTTTAAAAAAACGTTGTTCTACATTAGGATTTTCTCCTGTGTCGTGGTTACGTTAACATACAAGTTCACATAAATATGACACATAGACCAGAAACAACAATTTGTGGATCATACAGAGTTGCTTCGTGTGGGAATCAAACTCGCTAGGTACTTATTGCGCGACAGCCTGCTTGTTGCCCAGCCACCATGCTAACTGTGCTGTCAAATCGTAGTTACTAAGCACATGGATTGATTTTTTTTTTCAATGTTACTTTTAATGGAATTTATAGTAGTAGATCTAAATAAATATATAAATCTATTTCCTCAGTAGAAAATTAACACGTTTTAGAAGGAAGTGGGAGAAGGGACATAAACATAACATAGCATAATCACCTTTTAACTCGTCGAGTACCGGTTTTGTAGACACAATTATAGAACAATAGGTTGCGGTCACCGGTGACCGCTTGGTGTTTGACAGCTTAATAGCTTAAAGGGATGGGCAGAGTAAGTACCACATTCAATGTGTTTTTAGTTAACCGAGCGGTTGCAACGTATCTCGGATGCAATTCCCGCACGGTACAACGCTTTGTGTAATTCTTTAATAGTTGTTTTTAGATCTGGGTGTCATGTGTATATAATAATTGCATCTTTGTAACCGTACCCACGTCACAAGAAAATTTCACTTTCTGCTAGTCAAGATTTCAGCTCAAAGATCTATCAATTGACCCGAATACCTTGTACTCAGCAGTCATTCTTACAACCACAAAACCACAGTAACACTCGAATAGCTTAGAATTGATAATATAGTAACATACTGTTTCACTATATTATACCTATATATAGGCACCTATACCTAGACCATACAAAGTTCACTGACCGATGAAACCACGCCCCTTGTACACGCCCATTGCACGCCCCGCCCTCTGGAAATTTGGTATAACGTAGTTTTGCTCTATAGGAGTATAGATAAGGAGTATATTTAAGCTATTATTGTATTATGATAGTGGTTAGGAGTCTTAAGATTACCTAGGTTAAATAATCTCTTTAGAAATTTATTTTGACATTCATATTAAATTATTTGTATTGTAACTTTCGTGAGACATACTAAATACAATATTATGTTTTCGGTAGCAGCGCGACAGTCGCCGCGTCGCAGTTCGCGAAATGCTGCTCATGAATATGAGCCTCTAGCATGGCTTAAAACTAGTCGAGCACCTCGTCAAATTATTCCGTGAGTAAGCCGAAAACCCGAAAACATAATAATTTATTTAGATATATTAACTGAGATGGAATAGAATCAGACGTTCTTAGCAGAAATCTATGCTATACTAACTACTAGGAACATATTTAGTTTTTATTCCGTTGAAGAAATGAATTTGCAGCATGCAATAAGTATGCAGCAATACCCCCGCTGCAGAGATGCGATACAAAACACACACGACACGCAGCTAACCACTCGAATGACAGCACGGTTGGTGCGGTGGCTGGGCAACCGGCTGCCGTGCAACGTGTCGCGGGTTCGATTCCCGCACGGGACAACACTTTGTGTGATCCACAAATTGTTGTTTCGGGTCTGGGTGTCATGTGTATGTGAACTTGTATGTTTGTAAATGAACCCACGACACAGGAGATAATCCTAGTGTGGGGGGCAAGGCTTTTTATTAAAAAAAAAACAAAATTAAAAAAAAAATTACACTCGACATATGTTTCGTTCCTCCACGGACCATCCTCAGGAGTTAACTAAAAATCGCGGGTTACTCACTGAGTCTCAGTAACTACGCGACATCACCGCGACCGCGCACGCCGCTCATGAGGAAGAACCCCTCTGTGGTTCGAAACTAGTAGAGCTTTTCTTAGTATATTCACGTGAGTAACCCGCGATTTTAGTTAATTTAGTATGTCTTACGATAGTTTTTATAAAAACATCCTTAGGAGTCGTTGACTCGGCAGCTCAGCAGCTCCATTCAACAATGATTCGAGCCGCAAGAGCCGCCGAGTCAACATCGAGTAGAAACATTTATTCACAGTTGTTTTATGCCGGGCAAGGGGTCTTGGGTTCGATTCCCGGGTCGGGCAAAGTAAGACTGGGTTCTAAAAAAATCTTAGTAGTACCACGGAGTTTGAAATTGTGCCCAGTATATGGCAATAGGCCCCTATTACATGGGACTCATAACATAAATAGTGAAAAGTGGGTGTTACATTGTACAGTGGCATTAAGTGCCGTAATGTGCACCTCTGCTTAACCTTTCGGAGATAAAAGGCATGATCTACCACGAGAATGCACCCTTATGCTTTATTCACACTACGCTAGTAATTTAGTCGAGTTGCGATCATTAAGTAGTTCTCTCTCACTTTCATTTTGGAACAGAAGCGAGAGAGGACTGTTGAATATTCGCTACTTGACTAAATACTAGAACAAGGCATTAGCGCCGCCCGTCGCCATATTTTGCGAATACCGATTAAACTGTCAAACACCAAGCGGTCACCGGTGACCGCCACCTATTGTTCTATAAATGGGGTAGACGACTAATTTTTATTTTAATGTCCGTCTGGTAGATTATTTAAAAACATTAGACACGTATTTTTTATTTTCTTACGGAAACGAATAGTTTCGAAGATATATTGATTTGAAATGTCGCGTGACGTCACTTCTCAGTACATTTTATACTAAGAAATGACGTTTTAGCCCCCACTCCTAAACTTTGATTCGTTTTATCTAAGTATTGTTTTATTATACAACAAAATAAAAAAATACGTGTCTAATATTTTTTTATTACCTAAGTTACGGACTAATTATATTTTTAATTTTCATACCCTGTCATCATCCCCATTGTGTCTATAATGACGGTACTCGACGAGTTAAAGGGTTTTAAGTTTGATTGTCGCAATCAGGTACTTACGTCCTGTAGTAGCATTAATTAATTTCCCGAGGAATAAAAGGCGTGTCGTCATAATACTTATATTATTACTAGCTTCTGCCCGTGACGTCGTACGCGCAATCTCGAAAAAAATTTAGGGTTAGACTACCCCTAATATTTAGGAGAATGAAAAATAGATGTTGGCCGATTCTCATAGATACCGGATAAGCACAAATTTTTCATCAAAATCGCTCAAACCGTTTCGGAGGAGTATGGCAACGAAAACTTTGACGCGAGAATTTTATATATTAGATTATTTCCAATCATAAAACCAAACTAAACTACAAATTAACCCACAATCGACCACACAACATTAACAACCAATATTTAACATTCTCAATCCCAAGTACCAATGAAAATACATACATACATAACTTCACGCCTGTCTTCCATGGGGTTAGGCAGAGACTAAGGAACGCTAATTACTACGATTCGTACATACCTCTTTCGCTTCATCAACAGTCATCAATCTTTTCAAGCATGCTCGTCGGTTCAGGGTACCGTCGGTTGAGTACCAATGAAAAGGGTTAAAATTAAACGTTTTTCAACCAAACTGCAATGTACAGATATAAAATATACCTTCTTATATACGTGCTAATATTCAATGCCAATATTTCACATTGACAATGATACAGACTACTAACAAAACGTACATACATACATACGCACATCAAAGCGTTTAGCACAGAAAAAAATTATCTACGCATGCGTAAATGAGTTGAAAAAGTGTGTCTATACTACATGCAAATTACTCGCCACTTATTCGAGTTGCAGTTGTTTTTGTATAGTTTCCCGTGACCGTGAATATTCGGATGTAGTGTGGATTGACGCTTTATTCTTATATTATGCGTTTTCGTTATTTTTCAGGTGTGGGAGAGCCATGCTTCGGTACGCATGGGTCGGCTCGACCGGAGTTATACCACGGCTTCTC